CAAAGCACCGATTATGTATGTGGCATATAATGAAAAAGTTGAAAAAAGGTATTATTTTAATATATTTCAAATATATTACTTATTAGTATATTCATTTATGAATATTGATTGTTATTTTACTTATTATTATTTATTCATTTATGAATATTTTTGTTTTAATACAGATATCAGATGATTTATTTACGAACACAGACTTTAGAAAAAGGTTTTCGAAGCTTGTTTGGGACATTAATATGAAACCTGATGTTTTTGAGGTGAAGTGGGGTTTGCTTATGAAGGAATTCAATCTTGAAGACACAAGATGGTTTAAAGACATGTTTACAATACGTGATTCATGGATACCTGGATATTTTAGTGATATTCCAATGTGTGGTTTGATGAAGACTACATCGAGGTCAGAGAGTATGAATTCATTCTTTAATACATACTCAGAAAGTGGGAACTTACTTTTGAATTTCATGATGAATTACGACACTGCCATTCAAAAGCAAATGAATACTCAACGAGAGCTTGATAAGGCATCAAAGAAAGCATCATTTAAATGCAAACACCTCGAGAAATAGAACTGCAAGCATCAAAGGTTTATACAAGTACATTATTTTTTGAGGTGCAAAAAGAAATATATAAAGCATGTTTTTTCTGTACATACTCATATGTTGGTATTGAAGATGGTTGGGAAGTTTACATTGTGCAGCACAACAACAGTAAAAGTGAATTTAAAAATGAATTTAAGGTAATTTTACTAGTTTTTTTATGAAAAATGTAATAATATTCATATATGAATATGAGAATATTCATATATGAATATCAATATTCATATATGAATATATGAATATTATATGAATATATGAATATATGAGTGTTGATATGAGTATTCTTATATGAATGTAAATGTGTAAATTTTGTTTTTGTATCAGGTTGAAATAAAAGCTAAAGAGAAAGAAATAAATTGCAGTTGTGAACATTTTAAGCGTATGGGTGTTTTATGCAGACATGCTTTTACAATAATGATGAGATGTGGTGTTAAAGAAATTCCTGAAAGGTACATTTTGAAAAGATGGAGAAAGGATGTGATATCAAGAAATTATCGTTTTAGTTCTGTTCAATCCGATTCAGGTGATTGTGAGAATGTAAAGCTAGTCAATGATTCATATTATAGTTTTGAATCATGTTTGGATATTGTAAGAGATGACAAAAAGAGATTGGCTTTGTTTGCTGAGAAACAACAAATGTTGTTGAAGGAATTTGAGAGTGATTATATTTCTCTTGGATTGAAAAGCAAGACAGATGGTGAAGTCGTATGCAAGCTTTTGGGTGTTACTATTCCTATTCCAGAAGAGATTAATATTCATGTTCCTGAAGTTCAAAGCAATAAAGGTTCTGGAATCAAGAAAAGAATTCCAAGTGAAGGTGAAGTAGCATATGAAAATTCTAAAAAAGAACATAGAATGTGTTCAGGATGTGGAAAACGAGTTCCACACAATTTACGTACTTGTCCAGAAAGACGAGTTCCACACAATTTACGTACTTGTCCAGAAAGAGTTGGAGCTGCTAACTCAGCAAAAAATAGTTAGGGATTTTTTAGTTTTTATTTTATTATTTTATGTTTTTTGGTTTTATTCATTTATGAATATATGCAGATAAAAACAATAAACAATAATATTCATGTATGAATAATACACATTTATATTGATATGGTAAATTGATATGTTGATATTTGTTTTTTAAATTACTATAAAATAAGTTATATTGATATTGTAAATTATTCATAAATGAATACAACAAATATGTGAAATTTGTTATACTAATAAATAAGTAGTATTCATATCTGAACTTTTTTATGTTAATATCTGAACTTTGTTATACTAACATATTACTTTGAACTTATTCATAAATGAATATATCATATTCGTATTCATTTATGAATAAATAAAAATAAACTTTGAAAATATTTGAATATAAAAAAATGACATAAATAAGCAAACTTGTTTCTACTAATAAGTTAGTTATATTCATATCTGAAATTTGTTATATTCATATATGAACTTTGTTATACTGACATATTACTCCTAATTTAATCATAAATGAATATATCATATTCGTATTCATTTATGAATAAACATAAATAAACTTTGAAAATATTTAAATATAAAAAACTGACAGAAATAAGCGAAGTTGTTTCTATTACATAATCATTCAACACAAGATAATAAAAGCTGTTCATAAGCATTTCACAAAATATTAAAACGAACATTTAACAAACCATCTAAAATTTGTTTCGCATAATCGTCTTACATGTACTTCAAATCCATTCATCTTCAACACAAACTGTTCTATAGCATCACACTTCATCACAAGCAATCATCAATATTCTTTTAACCTTTTTTGAATTGTTTGCATAGCCTTGTATGCATGATCAGTACGCACTTTGAATTCAACTTTTTGATATTTTTCAGCAAGATCCAACACCTTAGCCTTCAACATGTTAATTTCAGAAGTTAGCATTATGTGTGCATACCTTTGCCTGAGCTTCTCTAAAGTAGTTTGTTGAATTGCACTTTCTTTATGAAGACCTGGTTTCCACTTTGAGAGTGGTTGTCCCATATAGGTCTCCATATGTCTCATTGCAAAGACCACAATCAACTTTGTTTTTAACTGTTCTCCATGTCATTTCAAGTCGTTGGGGTTTGATACTTTCTTTTGAGATTGCATTTGCTCTTGGATGGTTTATTTCTTTAAAGTATCTCACAAACAAATTTTTCTGATCATTAAATAAAATAAAAGTTAGATATGTAATAAATTGGTTCTTTTATGTTGTTGTGAATTGGGTACATACCAAAGGTTTCAATAGTACTCCGTATTTCCCTTCATAATCCCCCTCAACTGCACTGTTGTCTAGAATTTCAATTGATGGTTTCTTTAAGTTGAAGACAATCACAAAAATGTGAGCACTTTTAACAACTGGAAAGAATACATGTTTTTATGTATATAATGGTAAGTATTTTGTTGATAAAATATATATAAAAAAACAACTTTAATTAACATACCATGTCAATATCTTTTATGTTCAAGATTTTTTTGTACCCATTGGTACTGTCATGAAAGTTCTTCTTGAATTTTTCATACTTTCTTTCATCAGACAATGTTGAAGTTAGATAAGCAGTCTGTAACCAATATAATCATATGTGAATTTCAGTTGAATATATATAATTATATTAAAGAATACATCATATTTTGTATAATCATATGTGAATTTCAGTTGTAAAAAAATATAATATTCATAAATGAATACATCATATTGGTGTATTCATTTATCAATAAGGAAGAAATTAAGGTTAGAACATAAACTTACAGAAACTCCAACTTTCAAGAAGAGTCTGTATGGTGAATTTCCAAAATCCCTTTCCAGTTCTTGGTGGTTAAGTAAATCAGACCAAGTGTCTAAAACTTCTCCAAAAATCTTTGTGTTTGCATATAGACTTTCCATAACTGCTCTTTCTGTTATCTGACCATATTTTGTCTGGACAACCACATCTCTGCAAATATATAATCAAAATGTCATAGATTATTATCTATATAATAATCATATATGAATGTATATAAAATAAAGTTACTTACGATGTATTGCCTTGTAAGTTGAACAACCATTCACAGACAATACTCTCCTGATGTGTCAGTTTGGGTTTTGTGTCTGTTATTCTGCATTTGAAAGGTGATTTGAAAGCATCAGCAAGCTTCTTCTCTCTTGGTTGATCCAGATCATGCTTTGATGGTCCTACTTCAGTAGGAATTGATACAGAGATTGGATTTGATTAAGAACATTTTTCTTTGCTAATCTGATAACAACCTTCTGATGGTCGTCTTTGATTTGTTTCTTTGTAAGTGGTTTTTTTGGTGAAGATTCATTAGATTTTTTACTTGAAGTTTGATCTGAATCTTGACTGAGACCTAGACTAAAGCTTGGATGAGTATCTGCATGCCAGGAGATTTATCATATAAATAGTTGTAAGTTAATTATAATATTTGAGTTTATATTTTGAAATGTTTATCCAAATTGTTACCTCCTTTATTTCCTTTTGTCTTGTCAGCTTTTTCTCCTTTCTTGTTTTCATTTTCTGACTTTTTCTTTCCTGAAAGATAAAGAACTTTGATTAAGTAATTCATATGTGAATAAGTAATGTATTCATTTATGAATAAGTAATGCATATCATTATTTATGAATAAGAAATATTAAAATTTTATTTTTTTGTATATTGCGTTATTTATTTGTGAATAATAAAACTTATTATATTCATTTATTAGTGATTCAACTATTTACCTTTATCTTCTGCATTTCCTTTCTCAGTTTCTGTATGTTTATCTTCACCTCCATCTTTCGTGTTCTTAGCTTCTGTTCCTCCTTTATTTCTATCTTCAGAGTTTTCCTTGCCTGAAACATATACATCATATATGAATATTTTTTATTTTTTATTCATTTATATAGTGTATTATTCACTTATGAATAAACAATGTTATTAAAAAAATCAATATAAATATTGTAATATATTTTAAATCATTCATTTACCTGTATCATCTCCCTTTGTTTTTTCAACTTTTGTTCCTTGTTCATGTACACCTTCTGATTTTTCCTTTTCTGCAAGAGTATTAGTTTTACCTGTACTCATTGGTGACCCTGGTCAAAATTTAATAAACAAAATTGTTATTGTGTATTAATATTTTTATATATTTTTTTAAAATAAAAGTAAGACAAAATTTACCTATATCAATATTATCCAAAATAGTTTTCATTTCAGGGTGATTCCAGATTTCATCTTCTTGACTATTTAAACTTGAAATTCCAATTCCAAGGACATTGTCCACAATGTTGTCAACAACTTTATCCAACAAATTTTCATTTTCAGTTTGTTGAATAGTCTCTTCATGATTATTTGTTTCTTCATTATCATCAGCTTTTTTCTCTTCATCATTGTCATTTTGATTGTTCTTTCCATCTTTCTCTTTTACTTCAGTTTCACCTTCTTTTTATTATTATCTCCATCATTCTTTATTCTTTCATTCTCTGCTTCATTTGAATCAAGCAAATAATCTTCTTCTGGTTGACTTCCATCATTATCATTGTCTTCTTCACCATTTCCCTCTTTATCTTCATTTTCTTTTTGATCATTTGTTTTTTGACCAGTTATTGGTGTCAAATTGATTCCTTCAAATCCAGTTTGATTACTTGGAAATTCAAAAATAGTTGTGCCTTCTGTTTTTTCTTCACCAATTATATTTGTCATCTTTTCTTCGAAAATCCTAAAACTTTCCTTTTCAGGGAACTTTGTTATCGCATCATTAAGCTTTAAATTCAGCTTTTCCTTCATCCTCTCGAAACTATTAAGCATTTTAGATATTTTTGATTCATATGCCTATGTAATAAAAAGAAGTATGATTAGAATTTAATGTAATCATATATTATTAACATGTTCAAACTAATTACCTCAACAGAATGATCTTCATCTTTATCAGAATCACTGTCTTCGAGATCTGTATCTCCTTCATCTTGTTCATTAACAAATTCTTCGTTTAATTCTCCAAGTCCAAATCTACCTTTTTCTTGTTCAAATGTCTCTCGATATCTAATCTTCTCTGAACTCCAATAACAAATTGTTGGACGTTTACGTGTTACTGTTAAAGCTTCTGAGTGGATGTTATCAGCATAGAACAACTGCTCATAAATGATAACTAATTGATATTCATATATGAACAAGTAATATTATTTTTTACTATATGAATAAGTAATGTAAAGCATTACGTGTGAACAAATATATTTTTCTTATTCATATATGAATATTTGCTATTAGTTTATGAATAATCAATATTATTAAAAATTGAGTATAAACATTATAATAACTTACCACCAAGAAAGCTGAAGGTCCAACAAAGAAGCTGGTATCTGAGTATGGTATGTATGAGTTTTTTGTTCTGACAAGACAGTCCAAAACATAGCTGCACCAGTCTATGTTGCTGATATCTGTTTTTCTTGAAATATAACTCAAGGGAAACAGGTTGCATCTTCCCATTGATGTTGACTCGCAAAACGTGTTGACAAAAAGAACTAAGAAGTTCAATTTGAAATTGAAATCAGCTTGTGTGGTAGAAACAATAACATTTTTGATTGCACTCAGTCGGATGATTGAATCTTTTTTAAATTGTTGCTTCCATTCATCATAACTTGTATCATCCTTAGGCCATTGATCCAGTTGTGTAAGTTTGGTTCCACCAATTGGTATGCCCAACATGTCATGAACAGACTCTGCTGTTACTTTCAGTTCCTTTCCTTCAATATCTATCACCATTCTCTCAGAATCAAATTTTTGAAGAACATAAAATCCCAGCTTCAGTGGTATATCTGTGATTTTCATTTTTAACAAAGCTCCAAAACCCATAGATCTTACAGATTCTTTTTGTTCTTTGCTCATCCCAAGGATTATAGATAGTAATGCCTCTGGTGAACATCTGTTTTTCATTGAGTAAAATTCTTTTACCATTGGTTTTTTTTTTGTCTTTTTTGATTGGTGACTCCTTTTTTTTTGCCTTCTTCGATGGATGACTACTTTCAAAATCAGAGTCTGAATCTTGTAGTTGTTGTTTTTCAGGAGTTTTCCTTTTTGATGGACTTTTTCTGCTTTGATGCTTTATTTTCTTTGGTACTTTTGTTTCTTTTTTATCTGGGAAATGAAAACATATAATATTTGAATAAGTTACTGATATATGAATATGATATATGCTCGTTGATTTATTAATATTTATTTATTACAAAAATATAACTAATATATACAATTTTATTCATATATGAATATATTAGATGTGATAGGAATTTTGTACCTTTTGCATTTTTCCTCATTAAATCTGTTTCTATCATAGTTGTGGGGTCTTTATCAGAAATACAAATCTTCTTACCTTCATGAAAGAGTGAGTAGAAGATAAATAATTTTGAAATACATTTTACAAAGAAAATATATTATATTCATAAATGAATATAGAATATTCATTTATAAGATATGATATGTATTTTATACCTTTTTGATTTTTCTGCATTGATCTTGTTTCTCTCATTGTTGGTGAATCTTTATCGGAAATGTTAGTGTTCTTACCTTCATTCAATAGTAAGTAGAAGATAAATGAGTTTGATATTCACGAATGAATATTTGAATAAAACATATGTATTCATATTTTTTTATTCACATATGAATATGTTTTGTTATATTCATATGTGAATAGAACATATATAAGTCATTCTTGTTGTATTCACATTTGAATAATGTATGTATGACAGCAAGTTATGTTCTATTTATATATGAATATAACATACATATTCACGAATGAATATTTGAATAAAACATATGTATTCATATTTTTTTATTCTCATATGAATATGTTTTGTTATATTCACATTTGAATAATGTATGTATGGCAGCAAGTTATGTTCTATTCATATGTGAATATAACATACATATTCACGAATGAATATTTGAATAAAACATATGTATTCATATTTTTTTATTCTCATATGAATATGTTTTGTTATATTCATATGTGAATAGAACATATATAAGTCATTCTTGTTGTATTCACATTTGAATAATGTATGTATGGCAGCAAGTTATGTTCTATTCATATGTGAATATAACATACATATTCACGAATGAATATTTGAATAAAACATATGTATTCATATTTTTTTATTCTCATATGAATATGTTTTGTTATATTCATATGTGAATAGAACATATATAAGTCATTCTTGTTGTATTCACATTTGAATAATGTATGTATGGCAGCAAGTTATGTTCTATTCATATGTGAATATAACATACATATTCACGAATGAATATTTGAATAAAACATATGTATTCATATTTTTTTATTCTCATATGAATATGTTTTGTTATATTCACATTTGAATAATGTATGTATGGCAGCAAGTTATGTTCTATTCATATGTGAATATAACATACATATTCACGAATGAATATTTGAATAAAACATATGTATTCATATTTTTTTATTCTCATATGAATATGTTTTGTTATATTCATATGTGAATAGAACATATATAAGTCATTCTTGTTGTATTCACATTTGAATAATGTATGTATGGCAGCAAGTTATGTTCTATTCATATATGAATATAACATACATATTCACGAATGAATATTTGAATAAAACATATGTATTTATATTTTTTTATTCTCATATGAATATGTTTTGTTATATTCATATGTGAATAGAACATATATAAGTCATTCTTGTTGTATTCACATTTGAATAATGTATGTATGACAACAAGTTATGTTCTATTCATATATGAATATAACATACATATTCACGTTTGAATATTAGTTTTGCTTGTGTTCAGAAGTAAACAAAACATAATTAATTTACCTTTTTGATTTGTTCTTGTTTTTCGTTTATATGTACTCTTCACTGTTGGTGTTGTTTCTGTAAGGGTAAGTAGTTAATATTAGGAAAACATAAGCGAAATGTGAAGTAACGTTTGTATTTTGACAGAATAGTTTTGAATAAAGATGAAAAATGAAGAGATGATGTAAAATCATTTATATATCAACTAATAATGGATGATTCTTATAAAAATTTCAAGTAAATAAAGTAATAACAAAGGAGGGTTACGAGAATGAACGAGTATCATAAAAAATTGAAGTAAACAACCTTTTTTGAAGAATGAACAGTGTGAAAACAATGTTTTTGGTTCTAAATCAACTAATAATTATCGAAGATTACGAGAAATTTCAAGTAATCAAGTGATAATTTTAGAAATGATTCGAAATCGTTAAAAACTCGAGAAAAAACGCCGATGGTTACCTTTCATTGTCAAGAGTGAGGAAATGGTCTCGTTCATGTTTTCATCGGAAGACATTTTTCTTCGTTTATGTTATTTGATGCTTCTGCAAATGGTTTTCTTCTTATCGATTCTTCTGCAAATGGTTTTCGTGTTATGGTGTATGGAAGAGGGAAATGGTGCTTTTCTATCGAGATTTGATGTGTTATCAAATTACTCAAGTGCCCTGACGGTTTAATGTTTTTGGATTATTTACAAATTTGCCACCGCTCATTAATGTATTTGGATTATTTACAAGTTTGCCATTGTGCGTTTTTTAAGCTCATTAAATGATTGGCTGAGAATGGTTCCCCCATTCTCAACCTTTTTTTTTCTCAATTGAACCCTCTCTCTCTCTCTCTCTCTCTCTCTCTCTCTCTCTATATATATATATATATATATATATATATATATATTGTTTATTTAGTTGATTATTTTGTGATGTATGTGTGCATATATTTAATGTTGGTGGAAGATATAAACTATGCAGAAATGATTGTCTTATATTGTTTTAGCTTAATCCTCTTAAAACTGATATCTTCATTTTATCCCCTTCTCCTCACCTTCTCATTCGCTTATTAACTCTCACTCTCGGCCTATGGCCAACGACTTCACCCCTCATTTACTTCTTTAAGGAAGAATCCTCTGAAATCAACAACATCAAAGCCTTTATTTCTTTGGTTTTTGAAAGAGTTCTTCAAGACTATTTCATCTCCCTCGGGTGATCGATCACATCGATAATTTATACAACTCTCCAATATGGCACTCAAACTCCATTTCATCACTTATTCTAACATTAATTCAAGACTAGTTATGAGAATTTTGGTCATTGTGACGATTATTTTTTTTGAAACGACAAACTAGTTAATCTAATCCTAAATACATATCAACTCTTAAATAACACATATATTTCATAAGAGACTTGAATCCATGATCTCTTATTTGAGAAAGTCACACCTTAACGTTAGGCCAAAGACCCTTTGGTCATTGTGACACTTTATAGTTCCTCTATTTCCAGTCTATAAATTCTAAAAACTTATAAATCTTCATTATTTTCATTGCTACTTATTTATTTACTAATTATAATTTCATTTTCTTATTTACCCCAAATACGGATGATATAGTTATAAAACTTCATTATTTTGATCTATAACTATTTATTATTTCTTTACTATTAAATCTATATCATTACTGGACTTAAACCTTCGAAGTAGTAGATGATGGACACATTTCTAATAACAAATAGCATCAGGCGACAAACCCTTTGATGTCTTATGTCTATAAACTAATAATGTCTATAAATAAATGTTAATTAAAAAATTGGATCAGACCGGACTAAATGGATCACACCATGACCAGAACAATTATAGCCTGGACTAGTTCGAACCGGTGAACCTAAAACGGTCGGCCATTTTAGTATTCGGATCGTTGTGAAGTGTGAACACGCCCAGGCTGTTTCGAACTAACATTAATCAAGCTTTTCTGCACCTGGAATTGTGCACTTCTAGAACCTTAACATAAAGGAATTTTTATACTTTATTATTGATATTACCAAATTTTCTTTAAGAGATATATATATATATATATATATATATATATATATATATATATATATATATATATATATATATATATATATATATATTCTATTGAGGAAGAATGATAATTGGGATGTTTTCCATTAAATTAGGTGGTTTGACGAGGGGTGGAAATTTGTCCTTTAGCTGCGAATTGTTGTGTGAACGAGGTGGAGATTTAGTTTAGGCAGGTCGCAGCCCACAAATATCAACATCTTAATGATAAAGTCCAACCTTCTAGACCAATTATGGCAATTGCTTCCTTCCGGCCTATTCCAACTCATCGCTCATTTATATAAAAATCGAACTCACTGAATAAACTGTCGATTAATATTTTAGTTAAACGTGTATGTATTTACAAACATTTGTTCTATGTATCTGATTAAACAAGAAACTCGACTACGGACTAATAAAATATTAGAAAATCTGTAAAAAAAATCCACACATTTTGACTCTATTGACAAAAACTGAAAAAGTCCTCACTGATTTTTATTTTTTTTATTATTTTTTTATTTTTTCTTGCAGTTTAACTATTGAAACCTGTACACACTTACAAAACAACCATTGTAACCACGGGTCCGGACGCATGATTTCGTAGTAGGTGTTACCGGTGTCACATTTTTTTTACGTAGTGACACAATAGTAGAAAAAACGAAAAATTCAAAAATTTTACACTGCGTCCAGAAAAAACAGTGGTATCCGGTGCCACTATGGAAACCACAGTGGAATCGCCCCTGCCGGTTAGTGCCGATTTTAAGGGTTAATTTGCAAAGAATAAAATAGAAAATAGATGCATTTTTTGTTAATGAGGTTAAAGTTTAAGGATTTTTCTGAAAATTTTCTTATATATATATATATATATATATATTAGATTTTATTTAAAGAAAACTTATATTTATTTATTAAAAAACATAAAATAAAGATACCATCTACAACAATAATGATACTTTATATATCATTTTTGGGATTTTTTTTGTGATTCTTTTTAATAAATATCATTACAACAATCATAAAGATATCATCTAAATGAAATGCCTAAATAGAGCTCCAT